ACTCTGTGAAGGTGTGCATTTCTTCTCATTCAAACACACCTCACCAGAAACACGGCTTGTCGCAATCTGTGATGAATGCAGGCGAGAGCCAATGAGCGTTCGGTTATCATGTCATAAAACCTGTCATTTAAAGCGGCAACATTTGAATTTGGAACGAGCGCGTCAGTGCGGGTATGCTTATGGTCGCTGAACTCGCTGCTCAGAATGGAGATGAAGATCGCCGAATAAAGGCTTGAATTTGGGTCTGTTCCTCGCAGTCGTACAGATTCTGAAGCTTTGGATTACAGCGCAAAAATAAAATTGTTTCATTTCGTGATTATGTTTAGTTTTCGGTGTATTTTATGGATCTGTTGTCAGTCACAGCATGTCGGAGAAAACGCCATTTGTGTCCCTTGGCAAACAAAGTAAACATTACATGACAAGTAACGGTTAAACAATTGCAGAAATTTTATTTATTTTAAGGGTTTTAAGTGTAGTCTTGTTTAACATTATGTAGGCCTATTCTTGGAAACAAGCTGGCAGCAGAAATCACACAGAACAGAACGAAATGTTATCGTTTCATATTAAGTAAACGAGTAAACAATTTAATAATTGAAAACATAGGACATTGAAACTGACATTGAATGGCCATTGGTATGACAACTAAAAACAGCAATAATAACTAAAGCTGCAAGCAGCAATGAAAGGGGCCCTCGCACCCGGGCTCGCCGCCACCCAGTGGCTTTAGGAAAACAGCAAACGGTGGGCAATATGCATTTAAAGTGGTAAATATAGGAGGAATATGTTAGTCATTTATATGTGCCAAACTTCCTGTTGCCAACAGGTGGTGCTATGATTAAAACTGAACATTGACATGTAGATGTTTCAGGCCAGGACTCTTATCAAACGTGAAGTTTAGGGCAGATCGGACATTGTATATTTAAGTTAGTGTAAAACAAGTCATTTCCTGTTGCCAGCAGGTGGCGCTTTGATTATAGTGGAATATTGGCCTTAAGATGTGTTAAGGCAAGGATTCTTATCAAACATGTGAAGTTTAGGGCAGATCAGACATTGCATGTTTAAGTTAGTGTGAAACAAGTAAATTCCTGTTGCCAGCAGGTGGCGCTATAATTATAACTGAATATTGGCTTTTAGATGTGTTCAGGCCAGGAATCTTATAAAAACGTGTGAAGTTTGGGGCATGTTTCTAGCATGTTGGCAGCCTATTTAACACTTGTTGACGCTTTTTAATATGTTCCTAGGAGGCCATAACAGTGTTAAACATGTCACTTCCTGTTGCCAGGAGGTGGCACTATGACTATAACCGAATACGGGCATGTAGATATGTTCAGGACAGAACACCTATCAAACGTGGGAAGTTTGGGTCAGATCGGATATTGCTTGCCTGAGTTACAGCAACTTCCTGTTTCATGGCGAAACATCAAACTTTGTCAGGCTGCCAGGGACACGCCCCTTGACGAAAACTCAAGATCTTTGCAATTTAACGTCACAAAGGCCTTATGATAATAACCCTCACCAAATTGAAGATGATCCGATTAAAACTGTAGGAAGAGTTCGTCAAAGTATGAGGCCTGGAAATGGCAAAAACTGCACAAAAAACGTACTTCCTGTTGGGTTTTGGATTTTGTACCAAGATACTTTTTTGTAGGTAATGGTGTGTTACACGTGTGTACGGATTTTCGTACATGTACGTAAAACGTAGCTCGAGGCGCACTCCATTGAAATTTTACAGGTGGCACTATCAAGCCAATAAGGACCGCAACTAGACAAGCAAATTACACTTTGGGCTTCGGGTGCACGTCCAAGCGATCATATACACACAAAATATGTCAAAATGGCCAGCTTGGCAGTGTTCACTTAAACACAGTTTATGTCTTAATTGGACATGAACAGTTGGGAGAAATTTCGATGTGTGTCACTATATATTGTTTTAAAGTGACAGCAGTGACTGGTGCTTGGGCCATCAATGTTAATCAAACAACAAAATGCAAAGATAAAATCACTCACAGCTCTCAATCTGAATAACGTTAGCTTTAATAAGCATGCGATGATGCAATGTTCATTTACATTTGATTACTTTATTAGATTTATTTTGTAGGCTATAATACTTACCTGAACAGTAATGTTAGTAGACCTTCATGGAAAAGTTAAAGCACTATTTATTTCATTTGTATCTTTGTTTTTCTTTATTTCTTTATTCATGTTCTTATGTATCTTATGTATATTAAACACAAAAAATGCCTGCACACTGGTGCATTTACAAATTGATGTTTTATTAATTTCATTATTTTACATTTCAGAATATAAAGCAATGTTAATTCAGCTCTTAATTTGTGCCTCATATATATATATATATATATATATATAAAACAAAAAGTACCGATAAAAATACCGTTACCGTAAGTACCGGATTGATAAGCAGTATCGTAAGTAGTAATACCGTTAAAACCTTAATGATACCCATCACTATTTTTAGGTGTCGTCAATACGTCAGTATTTTACGTTTAAATGCTGAAAATACGTATCTGTACGTTTAGATACTGAAAATGCGTCAGTATTGTACGTTTTAGTGCCTGTAAAAACATAAGTAAATGTACGTTTTGTAGAACCACATTTTACGTAAAATGCATACAAATTATCACGAGATCGTGTTACGAGAACATGATATGTGGCGTGAGAGCGGCATGGCTTATCTGACATAGCAAGAGTAACTAAGAGGGCGGGTTTTGTGATGGGTCAATTGTGTCTAGAATCAATGTGGTGTGGTGAGTTTTTGTGTCATTTAGTGGTTTAAAGGAGAATAAAATCAAATGCGGCTTTCACCATGGTGCACCTTTAGCCCAGTTGAACTCCATATTCTGACATGTTTTTTGACATGTTTAAAGTGCCTCAAACAAAACTTTGAATGTCTTTGAAAGATGTGAAGCCAAGAACCTGGTAAATAGCACTTTTATACATATTATTATTTATACATATTATAGCAGCATAATTATCAACCCAGTACTCTGTAAATGCAGTTTGGTTTTCCAGTGGGCAGATCAGAGCTTGGTATTTCCAAAAGGTTTTGTGTGCAGTGTGTATCAGATGGTCAGTACTTTTGCTTTTTCTTGTCACTTTTGGAGCTCTGCAGCATGGGGACCACCCTAGTGTGCACTTGATAATGGATGTAGCACTTTATAACTCCCGGGTGACTTGCAACGGGAGCCCCTGGGAACATGAAACATGAAGGTTTTTAGTTCGAAAGTTAAATTTAGCATTGTTTATTATCACCTACTGTGTTTTTGATGAGCCCTGTAACAAATTTAACCACCATTTGCATGTGGTTTATCTCTTCTGATTTCCATATTTGGTGCTTGAGGACAAAAGCAAAAGCATTTGAGGGATCATCATGCTCTTCTGCTATGTCTGGATTGATTGTTTGGCAGGAAAGCATGTCAGCTAAATTCAGCAGCTGTAAACAGCTGGAAGTCACGCAGAGTATGGGTACAGATGAGTTTACATTAGTAACCGAGTAAATGACTGCTGGTATGAAATATGACTAGAATATATAGCTCAGCTGTCTTTTTCATAAACACTTGAGCTGTTCATGCAGTGTGGTTTTACATGGCATTCAATTTTAGGAGTTTACATTTGTGCCACTTTCCATTGCACGTCAATGTCTGTGACTTTTTTCAAGTATTAAAAGCATAAAGATCTTGACCTTCCTGACTGTATTGTAATCATACAATGTTATAATTTTGATATAATCGATTGAAATTATATTTAATTAATTGCATTAAAAAAATGTATTACTATTATCTAATTTCTCATTGCTTGTGACACCATTATTTAACATCATCAGATTAGAACGGTTTTCTTACATATTTTAGTGTTGATTGTGTTCATATTTTGAATAACTTCTTTGAAATTTCTGTTTTCATTGTAATTTTAAAGTTTTAGTCATTTTTATCCCATTTTTAATGTGTCATTTTTACTCCAGTTAAACTAAATGAAAATGAGAAATGTTTCTAACTATCTGAAATAAAATAATGTCTTTAACTTATTTCAGTTCAAATTTATTTTAATGTTTTTTTTAAATGTTTTTATGGTTTTATTTTTTTTATTTAACTACAATAACCCTGTTCTGTTATTAAAGGAAGACAGTCAAACACGTTTTATAAAAAAAAAAAGAAAAAAACATTTGATCCCAAATTTGCGGACCCCTGTTGAGTGACAGCTTCTTTTAGGCTAAATATGCAACCCTGTTACTCTCCAACCCATTTACCCTTTAGAGTGTTTTTTATTTCTATTTATTTATTATTATTAATTTATATATTTTAAAATTTTGTTTTGATATTTAATGTGTATTGCTAATAAAATGTGGTGTTGGTAAGATGGTTGCAAAACATGGTGTTACATGTTGGTAAGAGGGTTGCAAAAACTGCAAAACCCTTAAAAGTGAATAAAAATTAAACAATTGAATGTTTAGTTTGACCTCCTGAGGTTGACAACCAGCATTTCTGACCACTCATTTCACTGTTCATTTGCTGAAAAATAAAAGAATATACACTCACCGGACACTTTATTAGGTATACCTTTCGAGTACCAGATTGGACCCCCTTGTGCCTTCAGGACTGCTTTAATTTTTCGTGGCAAGGTGCTGGAAACACTCTTCCATACTGATATGACAGAATCACAAAGTTGCTGAGATTTGTTGGCTGCACATCCATGATGCAAATCTCTCGTTCCACCACATCCCAAAGGTGCTCTATTGGACTGAGTTCTGGTGACTGTTGAGGCCATTTGAGTATAGAACTTCAGCAGAATGTCTTAACCATGTGCATGCCTAAATGCATCGAGTTGCTGCCATGTGATTGGCTGATTAGATATTTGCAGTTGAACAGTTGTACCTATTAATCTGGCCAGTGAGTGTATATATTTTTAAGGAGTTTCTGCCCAGGCGTTTGGTGCCCTATTCATGGAAAGTGAGCAGGGTTGCATATGTGTGTGTGTTTGTGTAGATGGTGGAACAAAGAAGCTACGCAGCACCATCCGGCGGAGCACAGAGACGGGTATCGCAGTGGAGATGAGGAACCGTGTCACACGGCAGGGCAGTAAGGACTCGACAGATGGCAGCACCAACAGCAACAGCTCTGATGGGACGTGAGTGTGACCCACCACCTCACACATTTAATCACTGCATCCGAATGCACTTAGATCTCACGAAACATGTCCACATTTCAAAATCAAAAGAAACAAAGATGTAATATTTTGCATAAAATAAGCAGAAACCTATTTTTAGGACCACAGCTGTTTAGTTTTACTTAGATCATAAATTAAAGGCAGTACAACAGTATTTTACCATTTTAATGAAATGATAACATATTTGTTTCACTTTACAGCAGGAAATGTGTTTAATTGCCATGAAAATAATGTCACAATTCAAATATGGTGCAGTATGATTAGGACAGCAACAACTAATTGAAAAAATGTGTAAATAATGAGTAATAATTAAAAAAAAAGGAATAAAATGATTACATTTATAGCGATTAATCGTGATTAATCATTTGACAGCACTATTATATGTATGTATATATATATATATATATATATATACATACAAATATTGGATTTTTTTATCTGATTAAATTGATTAATCAAAGAAGTAAAAATCAAGTCAAATTCATAGCTAGTTCCAACCCTATATGTGACCCTGGAGCACAAAACCAGTCTCAAGTCGCTGGGGTATACAAAAATACGGGTCAATATATGGGTCAAAATTATTAATTTTTCTTTTATGCCAAAAATCATTAGGATATTAAGTAAAGATCATGTTCCGTGAAGATATTTTGTCAATTTCCTACTGTAAATATATCAAAACTTAATTTTTGATTAGTAATATGCATTGCTAAGGACTTCATTTGGATAACTTTAAAAGCGATTTTCTCAATATTTTGATTTTTTTAGCACCCTCAGATTCCAGATTTTCAAATAGTTGTATCTCGACCAAATATTGTCATATCATAACAATTATTTATTCAGCTTTCAGATGGTGTATAAAGCTCAATTTTGAAAGATCTTGACATGTTTCATTAGACTCACTCATCTGTGTGTAATGTGAGGTACTGTCACAGTAAATGATGAAGTAGCACTATATGTTGTACTGTTAGAAACAAACCTTGTATTGATGAGTTTGATTGATCACACATCACACCGGGTGTATTTCAGTTTCATCTTCCCCACCACTCGTCTTGGCCCTGAAAGCCAGTTCAGTGACTTCCTGGACGGTCTTGGTCCCGCTCAGATAGTGGGGCGGCAGACATTAGCCACACCGCCAATGGGTAAGACGCCTGCATACTGGCCAGAATACACTCAAATACAACAATTACCATCAGGTTCATAAAAAAATAATATTTTGCATTTTTATTCTGGATTCATATGAAAATTGTTACTCATTATTACATGTAATAACTTAATGTTTATGTACATAATTATATTTAAGTAAATACATTCATGTATTTTAAATACTAAATTGCTACTTTGTCATTACAAATGTGCAATAAGTAATATATTCAAAATACATGAGATACAAGTTTCAACAGAAATGACATTAAAGTATATTTTAGTTTGTCATAAATGCATTCAAGAGTACACGTTCATAAGTTCTACTTATGTGGGTCAGAAGAAGTGCTTTAAAGTTAAGCTAAATAATAATAAATAATTCAAGTATAATGCATTTTTACTGAATTGCAAGTACGATTAAGAGATTAAGTTTTGAAAACATTTAAGTTCAGAAACCATTAAGTTCATAATTATATTACAATCCTGTAAATCAAAAAGGGTTATTTTGCATTTTTGTTTTACTGACTGCTTTGTTCGTCAATTTGGAAATAGACGATCAAATTGAGCACATTGCTATGTGGGGTATAATGTAGTACACTAAATAATCCATGAAAATAGGGCACAATATACTATATTAAAGGGGTCATATGATGCTTTTTTTAAAGATCATTATTTGGTGTAACAGAATATCTTGACGTACTTTAATGTTCAAAAAACACATTCTTTTTCAAATACTGTACATTATTGTAGGTCCTCTATGCCCCGCCTCTCTCAAACGCTTCGTTTTCTACAAAGTCCCTCCTTCCGACAAGCGCAGCAGTCAATAGTAAATACTTAAACTAATAACAAAACAGTAGCTGATTCAGAAGCGGCAGATTGTCATAGCAAAGTCAGAATTACCTCCTCTCCTAGGTTCACGAAACGGTCGTCCATAAAATGCATTGCTGTTCTGTTGTAAGTGATCTTAAAGATTCCTAAATGCATCTACTTTCGGAAGGCCAAATAAAGTGCTTTAGCTTTTGCACTGATACACACAGCGTCTCCCTGACATGCTGCTTCAACACTAACTGTGGTTACTGAAACCACGCCTTCTTTCTTTGCGTGCACATTTGGGCGGCATTATGCAAATATTTCCACATAGTGAGGTAGATATGTGGAGGCGTGTTAGAACGAGCTGTTTTAGGGGGTGTGGCAGAGTCTTAACTTTGATAAAGAATATCTCTTTGGTTTTGAGACTTTAGTCTTTGCAACTTCAGGGATCCTATCTATGCACGATCAGCTTGTAACACTCCAAAGAGAAAGGAAAACTTGAGATCGCATCATATGACCCCTTTAATATGAAGGATTTGTCCAAATTGATTTTTATGGGAGTTTTACCTGTATTTTTGAGCATAGTATATACATAATATAAACTGTAGAAATAATATTGTACTGTGCTATTCTGTATCACTCCGTGGCACTCAGCTGATTGTCAATCAGTTTATCTGCATAATCACCAGGTCTGATAAATGTCAACCTTTTCAAGAGCTCATGGTGACTGAACTGGAGTTACTGACTTGTTAAACATAATAATAAGTTTCTAATTCCTTCTTTTATGATCAAACATCAAGGCAGAAACTCTCAGGAGTGGAGGTTGTGTCTTGTTCTTTGTCTCCATCTGCTGTTGATTGATCCCATTGCAAGAAGGCTTTCATAAGAGTATGGTTTCCCCTGTTTAGGTGATGTTTACATCGGTGTGGTGGATAGAGGGGGTCAGTTAGAGGTCGAGATCACGCAGGCCCGAGGTCTGACCCCTAAACCAGGCTCAAAGAACATTCAAGGTAACCCACCGTTAAACATGATTGAGTTGGATCATTTTATTCACATTACCATGTTAGGTAAGAACACAGAACACTGTTTCATCATTGGGTGTTTTCTTTTCTATCAGCAACATATGTAAAGGTTTATGTCCTGGAGAATGGAATGTGTCTCGCTAAGAAGAAAACCAAAGTGGTGAAGAAAACCCTGGATCCAACCTTCCAGCAATCCCTGATGTTTGACGAGATCCCGCAGGGGAAAGTGCTGCAGGTATTCAGTCAAAATCACTCCAGCACAAACACATTCTTTAGAAAACAGCATACTAGCATCTAAATACATAGCGGTCCCAAAAAAGTACTTAAGGCCATAAAACGTTTTGACAGTCTTGCAGTCTTATTTGAAACACAGGAGTGTTTTGATATAACTGTCTACTGTTTTACACAATTCATATTTTGTACAGCCTTTGTAGTGTAAAATATAATCTTAAAATATTGAATATGATCAAACACTTAAAAAAAACATTAAAGCCTATATCAGAATAATTAACACAAATAGTAGTGTAATTTAAAACCTTGCTATTTAGTATTTATTATTATTATTATTATTTAATATTAATTAATACAGTAATAAATATACATATATATATATATGGTTACAATATTGATCTTAAATTATTTTTATTTTTTTTATAGTATTTTATGCTGACCAAGGCTGCATTTATTTGATTAAACATGCTGTAGAAACAGTAATATAGTGAAATATTATTAGAATTTAAAACAACTCTGAATATATTTTTAAATATAATTTATTGCTGTGATCAAAGCTGAATTTTCAGCATCATTACTCCAGTCTTCAGTGTCACATGATCCTTCAGAAATCATTTGAATATGATAATTTGCTGTTTAAGAAACATTTCTTATTGCTATCAGTGTTGAAAACAATTGTGATGCTTAATATGTTTGTGGAAACTGTTTTCAAGATTCTAGCATTTATTTGAAAGAAATGTTTTGTAACATTATAATGTGTATTTACTACACCTTTTGCTGAAAGGGGTCCTTGCTGAAAGTATAATTTCTTTAAAAAAAAAAAAAATCTTTCTGATCCCAAACTTTTAAATTGCCTTGTTTATTTACTGTTTTATGGCTGAAAATTTTCATTCTAAATTATAAAACAAAATATTTACTGGTCAAAATTAAGACAAAAACTACATTGTGACATTTTTTAAATGTGTCCAAAAATTAAGACACACTTAAAAATGTATGAATGTCATTGCATTACATAAGAAACCAAGTGCAAATGCTAAAGTATATTTAGGGCCACTCTATATTTAACCTCTCCACATACTGATCCTTCATTTGTAACCTTTAACCTCTCCAGGTGATCGTGTGGGGCGATTACGGCCGCATGGACAGCAAGTGTTTCATGGGAATGGCTCAGATCCTCCTGGATGATCTGGATCTGTCGTCGATGGTGGGTGGCTGGTACAAGCTCTTCCCCACCTCCTCTCTGGCGGACCCCAGCATCGGCCCCCTGACGCGCCGACTCTCCCAGTCCTCGCTCGAGAGCGCCACCAGCCCCTCTTGCACCTAGAAACATCCAAGTCCCCTTCTAAATATGCCCGTCTTCTCTATCTCTACGTGTGTATCTTTGTTCAATATACCCCGATACTGACCCCAAACGCATGAACACACCCTGATAGATACAGCCAACTCGCCCGGCGCTGGAACGCTCCTCTTTACCGATACAGATATTTAGAGTTGGATACAAATCAGGCGTGACACATATAACACACACATACACACACACCCTCGCAGATGGATATGGGTGTAACCAGCAACATGCAGTCGTAGGGTTGTGAAAAAGCAGTCACGGCTGGTTACATACAGATCCATTGTCTGCAGGTCAACCAATAGGGGCATTTAATAAACCCGCCGAGAAATATTCCTGACAATGTAGCATTCGTGTTGACGTCACGTCACACAGGAAGCAGAATGGGTAGTTTCTAGTAGTTTCCAGACCCTCGAGGGTCAGTCATTTCTCTATGCCAAACCCGAACAAAGTTTTATTTTTTAAAAACCAAAGCAATTCTTATTATCTGTAGTGTTATATTATAGAGTATGGATATGTAGCAGAGTCAGTGACTTAGATGAGATGCAAAAAACAAAGACGTGTTAGAAAAACTCAAAAGGTGCGGTCACGTTAGCGAAATTTTGTTGGCAAAGGAATCCATTTTCAGTTGTCGATAGTGTAGCGACATATTAAGTCACTTGCATACCAAGCAACTTTTGGCGTGGCAATTTCGCAGGACCAACTTGAAGACGAACGAAACCTGCGTCGCAACTTTTTCGCCCTTTGCGCGAAATGGATTCCTATAGAAATGACTGGAATTCGCCTGTAAAATTTCGGTAAATGTGATCGTACCTATATTCACAATTAAACTTTTAAAGGGCAGGGCTTTACTCCACATGTCAGGTTATTTATTAGAAATGCACACGATTCCTGTCGCATAAAGTAGCGTATTCTTTTTTTCCTTTTCGGAGAGCTGAATAAATAAATATATAGATCGCTATTTGTGTTTATGTATTTATCGACTGCATTCTGCACGTTAACTCGCAACCCTTGTTGAGCAAAATATGTAAAGTGCTATTTTAAGCTTGCCTTTAAAATTACGTAGACTTATAGACGGTAGGTTATTTATTTTGCTAATGTGTCAATCTCACTTTTGTCTGAACAACACCATCTGCACCGAGCTGCAGATGTAGTCGAGGGAATCAAACCCTCCCTCCTGTTAAACCAGCAACCCTCGTACACAGCTGCATTGTGGGATACGCCGAACGGTGTCCGCTGGCAAGCAAGAAAACTTGTAGCAAGTAGCGAAGCTTTCTGGGAAGTTGGAGCTGCATTAGACTTTACCACCTCGAGTAGTTTTGGGTTTCTTTCTACCAGCATTTGGAACTGTTAAAGGCCTTTCCCATTTCCTGTTACTCTCAGGAGGTCATGCTGAACAAAAAAAACACACACACGCAACAATATGAGGACTGGTGATGGGGTCGCTCTCTCAACAGGATCTTGAAGCCCAAAACAAATGGTATTCTATAAACTCCTGGACACTTTTTTTTTTGGTCTTTCGAACCATTGTGACCATTCCTGTCCAATCAGCAGTCTTCTTTAGCTTCGTCTCTGAAGCTGAGTGGCTCTAGACGGTTTCTTCAGTCGATCTTCGGTGTTATGGAGACTTGTGGAAGGAAAGCAGCACTGTAGGTAAAAAACGAAGTACTCTTGTCAGCCTCCTAGATTTGTTTTCATAGCTTCTCTAAATATATCAGAGCTGGAGAAGGTACCATACATATCATATATCTGTGCACCAGTTTATTCATGTCAAATCAGTCACATATTTCTGCAGAGATGATGGCATTTGTGACACTATCAGTAAGAACCAGAACATTAGTCATTTCTAAATTCCCATATGGATCATTTGCCAAATCATTAAAGACGTTTGTATAATTCAATCTGTTTAAACACTCTTTGATGGAAGCACACAAACTCTATTGTAGATGGATCTGCTTTGAAAGGCGGATTATGAGACCGTCAGCAAACCGTTTCATCTGATTTATCATTTTGAATCGCATCAGCTTTTGAAGTATTTTAGTGTTGTGTTTTGTACATGCTGTTTTTTTTTTCTATCTGCCAATGTCACTGCTACACTGGTCAAGATGTACAGCACAAAATGTCACCATTTATCTAGATGTTCATAAGAAAGTGTGCCTCACATTCCATACTTTCAGAATCTCTTGTTTTTATTATCCTAGGCCATTCCATCAATGCACTTTACAGTACATGCACACGTTTCAATGCATTTGGTAAGATGTAGATACTATAAAACACTTAATTTTCGTAATGAATGGTCATGTTCATATAGAGATTTATCTTTAAATCCTGAGAAACGTTTAGTCGTTGCTTGTGTCTTTATTTATCTTTTCTCTGTCCATTTAGATGTTTTGCTTCACAAAGAATCTTTAAGGACAATTTCAAGTTACAAAAAACGGCTGAATCAGAAGACACGTTGTGCACACTAAATATAGTTGCATTTTAATTGTTTCTGTAAGGCCAAAAGTATAAGTTGGACCAAAAAATGGGACTTTACACTTTCTTACTTTCATCCGAAACTGCAAAATATGTATTTTACCCATGCCAGATTGAACATATTTACAATATTTTACTTTTACCTTTAAACATACAAAAAAAAATAGTTTCTGCTATCTTTCACATACATGTCTTGCTTCTTTTGTATTTGCACAAGTTTGATTGTGTTGCACTTTTTCACTAACAGACAAATGTCTGTACATTAAATTAGGAACAAAAAATGACTTCTTAATTCTAATTTAAGACGAAATTATATTACTGTACTGAAAACAAATTGTATTTGCAGCTGAATGTTTGTCCTTGGTAAACACATATGAAATGACTATTAGATATTGATATTTTTTCTATGTGATTTTACGTACTTGGGAATTTGGGAAAATATACGTGTCCCTTTACTGTACAATGAAGTAGTTACAAAATCTTACTGGTCTTGCATTTTTGCAAAATGAAAAGAGTCTGAATGCATGAATATTTGTACTGTACTGCTCTATTTTTTCAGGTGTAGTGGATGGATGTAGCTTGTTGCAGTCCATAGCTAAACCAAATGCAACATTAACAAAAAAAAAAGAAGAAGAATCTAGATTTGCCGCTTCCAGATTTCTGTGGTTTGGATGCGTTTTGATATTTTAACATGGAATGAGAACGATCAGATCTGTTTTGTTCTGACAGTAATCAGATACAGCTAACAAATGCTTCTGTGATGTGTTGATGATCTGTAAATACAAATCTTTGAGTATGATGTTGTAACTTCTGAATAAGATACCATCTGGCTGGCTGGCATCTGGTTTGTTTAAATGCTCGGTGTTGAACTATACGTCATGCTTTTATATGCGAGACCACTTCATGCTTTTCAGTTCATACATGGTGAAGTCTGAAGTCTTTCTTGGCAGTTTTATGGCATGTGCAGTTTATGTGTGAGTGTAAGTGACACCAGCCTGACTGGGGAATGATCTTAATACACTGAAATACAGATATCAATATCAATGTGATGTTATGACGCAAGCTGAATAAACCTGACAACAATGTGTTGTCTTTGTGGGCCAACAATCTTAGCTGAAACAGTTGGATGTGATCAACCTGGTATTCATGCTTACTTTTTTATTTGCATTCAGAAATGGACAGTAGATTGTAAAACTGAGAATGAGGTGTAAATTTGAACATTTATTTTATGAGATTTCGCTCTGTCAGGTACTGTATGGTGTATATAAATTATATAAATGTTGACAGATTGCTTTAATTTCAAATAGGAATGTAATCCCTTTACATCTTTCTGGGCCAGTTAAAGGAATAGTTCACCCAAAATCCGGCCAGCCAAGATGTAGCATTACATCACTTGCTCACCAATGGATCCTCTGCAGTGAATGGGTGCCGTCAGAATGAGAGTTCAAACAGCTGATAAAAACATTGCAGTAATCCACAAGTAATCCACTCCAGTCCATTAGTTCTTTTGCATATCTCTCTCCTGATTCAGACAAGACAAAGAGGGCTCATATTTTAGTAATGGTTTAAAGTTAAAAACATCATAATGATGGATTTGTTTCCTACAAACATGCAACTTTCAGCTTCACAAGACGTTAATTGATGGATTGGAGTGGTGTGGATTACTTGTGGATTATTGTGATGTTTTTATCAGCTGTTTGGACGCTCATTCTGACGGCACCCATTCACTGTAGAGCATCCATTGGTGAGCAAGTGATGTAATGTTAAATTGATCCAAAACAGTTCCCATGAAGAAACAAACTCATCTACATCTTGGATGGCCTGAGGCTGAGTACATTTGAAGCAAATTTTCGTTTTTGGGTGAACTATTCTTTTAAACCCTTGTGAAGTCTTTTTATGAACCCCTAATACTGTTTTTGTTACGTTTGTGAACAAATATAAAGACTAATGAGGATATATTGAGCTTTTATCTTATTTTTGTAAAATGAATTATCTTGCAGAGTGGTTTGTTGGATGAAAGGCGGTGGCTTGTTTATTGCCTTACTTGAGAGATTATTATAAGGCTTAGACATGTTACTGAAAGCCGTGAGTGTTTTGCTTTGATATTATTAATGATACTGAAGCATCTCTAACTTGAATGTACGTATTAAATATTTCATGTTATTGTATTATAAAACATATTTGTTTTACAGTGTCTGAGTGACAGAATAACATCTTTACCCGGTATGTGTTGATGCTTAAAGGCTTACATGAGCACAACATCCCTAGTATCTAATTCAATCTGTTTGCTATCACAATTGATTTGAGTATTCAGTTTGCTGAAAAACTAAGATGGATATCAGATATTAGTTGTGCCTATAGGTTAAATGTAACATTCAGTGCATGCCTTTAGTCTGTTTTTAGTCATTTACATTATTGAGATTTGTAAAATGGTCTGGAGAAAGTAAGCATTGCATGTTTGTCTTTATTGTCTTCTAATAAGGCTCTATTTTTTGTGATCACACATAACCAAGACATGTAAGAAAAATAAATAAAAAACATACTTTTATTTTATTCAAATTATATGATTACAACCTTGAATTTATTGTACTTTTGGGTCAGACTGTCTTTGGAAATTGATTTATTTTACAAATGCAAAGATGGTCATTTGTAGTCTGTTTTCTTATCCATGTAGCAAAGCTGTTAGCAGCTCTTTTGTTGTCACCATAAATCAGCCATTCATATTATTCATGACATTGTGAACAGCACAAGACATTGTCGAGACATGCTCACCTTTGCAGACAGGTTTTCAACTTTCACAAGAGATGTAGCTACTTTGAAAATGATGTAACCCACTTCAGTTTAAGTCTTGCACTTTGAGAGAGCACGATCAAAGATTTATCAGAGCAAAAGTAGCCCCCAAAACTTTTAGATGATAAATGATTTGAGCTGACAGTGAGCTGCTTCGGAATAACAGAATGGAAAAGAGAGCTGTATGGGGAAGCTGTAATTTTATACTTGTGCTTTGTAAATGTTTTCTATGTGCAGTATTTGATAATGTAAAACTTGTATTTTTGTGGTTTGTACGCTGCAGAACTGATTATTTAAGGTGCACGCAGTTTTGTAAGAAAAGGTTGGGAAACTTTGACAGAAAAAATGATTTTGACTGAAGCCTGTATCTGCATGCATATTGACTGATGGAAGCTGGAGGTCAATAAATTTTATTTGAATCATCTCGTCTTTGTGTCTGAATGGAATATGTATAATTAAGTGGGTTTTAATCTTTTCCTGAACCATAAAAATAAAGGCCCTTTATTGGCATCAATGGTTCCACAAAGAACCTTTACCATCCATGGAACCTTTTCATTCCACAAAAGGTTATTTACAGTGGAAAAAGATTATTAAAATGTTCTTCATACTAAGAAAATATATATATATATATATATTTTTAAAGAAATGTTCACTGAAAGGTTCTTTGGGGAACCAAAACTCATTCTTCTATGGCATCACTGTGAAAACCCCCTTTTTGGAACCTTTATTTTTAAGAGTGTACTTGGGGGTTAGAAAAATGGCATCTGCTCGCCCACACCACCAAACACTTAAAGGGGTCATATGATGCTCCTAAAAAGAACATTATTTTGTGTATTTGGTGTAATGAAATGTGTTTATGCAGTTTAAGGTAAAAAAAAAACACATTTTCCACATACTGTACATTATTGTTTCTCCTCTATGCCTTTCTGAAATGCGTCAATCTTTACAAAGCTCATCAGTCTGGAAAGCGAGGTGTGCTCTGATTGGCCAGCCAATCAAGCGTGTGACGGAAATGTTACACCCCTCACCATACTGTGATGATGCCCTGTCCGGCCGGAGCGATGATTCAAAAACCCATTATAAACGAGGCATTTGTTGCATCCAGTGGGGACATAATTATGGATTATAATGACGTATACTGTCTTTTTAAGCGTTGCGTTGCATCGCGCCGCATAAACATAAAACCATGTCTGCATCTGTGATCGGAGAAATGACAAACAACAAGCCCTACTCTACACTGCTCAAAAAACTTGCTTTAAATATTTTTTACTGTTATACTTTTTTAAATATAAAAGACGTACTTACCGTAAGTCAGAACAGCCGGCATTGTAGTCTACTCTACCAGGTTCAGGAAACAGTCCTCCATAAAATGCGCTGCACACATCTGAATATTTGGGTTGAAGTGTTCTGGAACAGTGTTGTAAATACAACTTAACCACTGATTTCTAGTCGTGTCCATTTTTGGAAGACCAAACAAAGTAGTTTCACATTCACAACGAAACACAGCGTCACACACGGTGGCCTAGAGTTAGCGGCGGCGGCCTAGAGTGAGCAGAGGCCGGGGGATGAAGTGAGGAACAGCCGGCGGGCTGATTGAGCAGAGGCGGCGGATTCGACGAAGGAGCGTCCGGTGGGCTTGCAGCAACCACATGTGACGACTCCGGGCTGGCCTCCGCTTCGTCCACGGTGAAAGCCGATCCGGCGATCCACAGCGCAAAGTTGTAGTATTTCCTCAGCAACCAGCACGGATCAGCTCCAGGCATGACGAAGCAGATATCGTCCTCTTTTGGAAGACCAAACAAAGTAGTTTCACTTTCACAACGAATCACACAGCGCCTTCACGACATGGCGGCGGCAACAACAATACTACAGCGAGAATAAAAGTTACGCCTTCTTTCTTTGCGTGAACATTTGGGTGGCGTTATGCAAATCTTCCCACATGGTGATGTAGACATGTGGGGGCGTGTTAGAACGAGCCGTTTTAGGTAGGCGTGGTTAAATCTTAACTCATATGACCCCTTTAAGTTTAAAAACAAACTGATGTTTTATTAGGAAGAAAGTTGGCAGATATTTTCAACAATGCAGAATAAATCAGTAAGATATGTACACTAAGAAAAGTAAGTGTATGTTAAGTGCAGTTTACATGTAGGCCCAGGTCACAGCATTTGGAGTGAATTGCCTAATGCTCTCAGGTGCTGTACAATAGGACAGTTCAGAGACTGAGCACATCCTCCTGGAGGATCCACTGGAGGGACTGCAGCCAGCATTCATTTGGCCCAAACTGTGAGTAGGAAAATAAAAGTGTGAATATGATCCACTGAAGTCTGATGGGGCCAGTCCCATGTTTTCCTCTTGCAAGCCAAACCATGATCTCCGTTTGCGAGGCCCACAAAAGCGTTTTCCAGGTTCCTAGTTGCACAAAGTGCAGGTCTGTTCCTCAGGGGGGCGATGCTTTCCCGCTGCAGAAGGGACTCTATTGAAAACGGGCTGCTAAACTTATTTTCTGCCTCGGGGCGTTTGCAGGTCGCCCTGTTTTCCATTTCATTCTTCACAGAGGACATTTCCATGTTTTCATAAAAGTCAGGGAAGACGTCGCGCAAACCACTGAAGTGTCGACGCAGTATCTTTGGGGTGATTTTACTTTCATCCACTTTCCAAAAGAAATGCTTTGCATATGGGCATTCTGGATTTATAGGCACCTGTAGAAGTAGCCTAATAATAACAATATGAGGAAGAGGAGGAAGAATTACGTACCTTTACAAAGCAGGAGTTTGATGATAAACAGACTCTTATATTATTCTCAAGGCCTTTTCTGTCGCCATCCACAAATAGCATCACCGCATTCATTAACTGATGGAGGAAAAAATAGTCAAACTGAAATATTATAGGTTATTATAGCCTATGTTTCTGATTTTGCTTTATTTAATAAAGCACTCATGAAAGTGGAAAACAATTCATTAAAAAAAAAGGCCATTAGGCGTCCCTGAATTAGCCACTGAATGCAGTTCGGGAGCGCAGAGAATTCAGCTTGTCCAATCACAATTCGTACCCAAACTATCTAGTTTACACTCTCGCTGCATCTCTGAGAACATCTGATTGTGAAGCGACGATGAGAGTCTGTCGTGTAGTTTGAGGCCTATACAGGAAGCACACCGGCTATAGAAGATGTAGATGGCCATTCCTCGTTAATGTCTCTTTTACATAATTGATGGAGGTGTTAACATGTGGGCGGACATGCCTGGGCCACCACAGTCGATGGCGATAACTGTTTTTATATGCTATTATAGGCCTAACATGCACAAGCATGAAATAAAGAGTTTAAAGATATGAATAAATACATATAGGCCTAAATATAAACTCAATTTTACTGATAAAATGTTAACCAAACGTTTTATTAAATAAATACGTTGTATCATGTATTTCAATAGGCTATTTAACAAGAAAACAAACAAACATTTTATTAAATAATCGCGTTATCATGCTATGTAATAATTTTATCTTAAAGAAATAGCCTAGGTAAAGAAATAGCTAAACCTGCTCATAAGCACAATATTTTATTATCATCCATTTTCCAAAAGTTTAATTGTGCATTTGGGCACTCTGGATTTATCCAGAAAGGGAGAGATTCGTAATAAAGCCGAAGAAGAAGAATTGGCTACATATACATTTACACAACAGCTGTTTGATATGATATAGGCGATGAATAGACTGATGTTATTTTCGAGGACTTTTCTATTCCCATCCACAAATATCATCACTAATGGGGAAAAGCATGCAGTAAAGCTAAAACATTGTTATACATGTTTGCGATTTGCTTCGTTAAATAATGCAACTCAATAAATGTTTTACAAATATAATTTTATTAAATATTTCATTAAATCATTACATTATATGTAATAATTGTTAGTTTAAATAAATAAACAGATCATTGTCACGAGTCCGGTCCATGAACTTCCGTCTGCTTGCCATCAGAGGTCACCCTTTCCATTACATTGACTCTCGCACTACACAAACTGTTGCATATCATCCCGGACTACATATCCCATCATCCATTGTACTGATTGCACACAGCTGTATCCAATCACACATTCACTATATATCACTCAATCTGACTCCTATCAAACTGCTGAATATTGAATGCGCTGATCGCCAACAGTGATAGCTACTTTACAGAGCCCTCGTTAGTTTCCCAGTCCTAGCCTAGTCTTGCCCTGTCTGTTTTCTTGGTTTCTGATCTTTGCCTGTTTTCCTGGATTTATCCCTCTAGTCTCGCCCTTTTGATTCTGTTCGCCGATCGTTGACCTACGCTAGCCCTAGGATTATTCTTGTGTCTTGCCTGCCATATACCTGTTTGCCATTGTTCGACCCTGCCTGTGTTTCTGACCTCTTCTGCTTTAAATAAAAGTTTGCACATGGATCCGCACGTCTCACATCTTGTCAGCCCCCTAACAACCATAATGGTGTTATATGATGTGATGCTTTAATGTAATAAGACCGCTTATCACCTGCCGCCATCTACTGGTGGTTTAGTTTGTTTAAAAGTGTCATTCCAACATTTCTTATTTGTATATTCAAAAAATATTTAAAACAATCTCATAACATTATTTAATGTAAATTATTTAGTGTAAATTATTCAATTTGATTGGCAACAGCCATATAGTATCTTATTCTAATTTCATTTATTGATCAAAATGAAGAATTTAAAATAAAAGATAAAGCATATATTTAAAAAGGGGGAAATGCCCTTTAAAAAGGTAAAAATATCACAAATATGCATATTTAAATATGTCAAAGCTGATTGAACTCTGATGAGAATATTGCTTCATAATCAATTATATACAACACAATTGTCACAATGTCAAGCCCTGACACATTTTATGTATTCATTGTTACAGCCTATATCTTTGCGTCACATTTTGTTTTTTAATTTGCGTCACATTTATAAAATAGTCAAATATAAGCAACTCACCACTCCAACAAGTTTAAACAAATAATAATAATAAATAATATAAAACTAGGTCTAGTGAATAGAGTATTCCAGCCAGTCTCTGCTTCTATACCAGGAGCTGTTGAATGATATTTTTTTGCCTGAGAAAACACGAGCAGGAAAGTTTTTTAAGATTACTTGGTTAGGTTTCTAAACTCCGAGACCCTTTTGCCTGAGAAAACACGAGCAGGAAAGTTTTTAAGATTACTTGGTTAGGTTTCTAAACTCCGAGACCCCCTGGTGCTGCCACCTGTGACGACCCTTGCTTGAGGCCTTGGCAACTGGAACGGCTGGCCTCTGCACTGTCGGGAGTTGAATCAACGTCTTGCAAACTGTGACACCCTTCAAAAGCAGTGTATGTACAGTGGGGCAAAAAAGTATTTAGTCAGCCACCAATTGTGCAAGTTCTCCCACTTAAAAAGATGAGAGAGGCCTGTAATTTTCATCATAGGTATACCTCAACTATGAGAGACAAAATGAGAAAAAAAATGCAGAAAATCACATTGTAGGATTTTTAAAGAATTAATTGGTAAATTCCTCTGTAAAATAAGTATTTGGTCACCTACAAACAAGCAAGATTTCTGGCTCTCACAGACCTGTAACTTCTTCTTTAAGAGGCTCCTCTGTCCTCCACTAGTTACCTGTATTAATGGCATCTGTTTGAACTCGTTATCAGTATAAAAGACACCTGTCCACAACCTCAAACAGTCACACTCCAAACTCCACCATGGCCAAGACCAAAGAGCTGTCAAAAGACAATAAGGTTAAGGAAATCTCATATAAATGAATTCATAGAGTTTATCCAACAAAATAATTCCTACAAAAATTTAAAATTGATATTGATTTAAAATGCTCTTTTTGTGAATGCTCCACTGAAACAATTTCTCATTTGTTTTGGTCCTGCCGATATACCCAGCATTTTTGGAATAATGTGGAGGGTTTCATTGCTGATAATATTTTTAAAACATTTTCCTTATTTTATAAACATGTGATTTTGGGTTATTATATCAAGGATCGCTCTTTAAAGGATGTTGGTTTTATTATAAATTTCATATTCATAAATGCAAGTTTACAAAAGGCAAACCTCTTTTTATGGTGTTTGAAAAAGAGATTAAAATGTTTGTAGATGTGATGTCAAAATCTAAAAATAGTAAAGCAATTAAAACGATAAATATATGCTCCTCCTTTAACATTTTCACATAATGTTAAAGAAACAATAATAATAATAAATAATGGTGCTGACCTGCAAAGTATATTTTCTGTATTAAAATTTGCATTGTAACATCCTATGGACATGTAATTATATGTATAATATGTATTTGTCTGTAAACTGATGCTTATGTACCCTCTTTTTGTTTTTTTCCCTTGCTCCTTCTTGTTGAGGCATGTGAAATGTTTTTGTTATATAGTGAGATATGGCACTGTACATGCTACTTGTTGACAATAAAGCATTTTAAAAAAAAACCTGCGACACCCAGGGCTTTCACCTAACGTTACATCACTGCTGCTGCTCTCTCCTGCCAACTTTGGTGGTTTTTGATTAAAGAAACGGCGTATATCCATAGCACTGCCACACGAGATCGCTCAGCATTAAAAAATTAATAATAAATTACAACTAACGTTAAGCAGTAGCACTATGCTTAGCAAAAAAACAAACATTTCCGCGCTCACTATCAACAAACCAATCAAATACGTTTAAAATATTATTATTTTTAAATCAGACCAAACACATTTTTATTTTTATTCAGGAGTTACCACTGTACATGCTACTTGTTGACAATAAAGCATTTTAAAAAAAAACCTGCGACACCCAGGGCTTTCACCTAACGTTACATCACTGCTGCTGCTCTCTCCTGCCAACTTTGGTGGTTTTTGATTAAAGAAACGGCGTATATCCATAGCACTGCCACACGAGATCGCTCAGCATTAAAAAATTAATAATAAATTACAACTAACGTTAAGCAGTAGCACTATGCTTAGCAAAAAAACAAACATTTCCGCGCTCACTATCAACAAACCAATCAAATACGTTTAAAATATTATTATTTTTAAATCAGACCAAACACATTTTTATTTTTATTCAGGAGTTACATATATTCAAAACGATAACTTTTTATAACAGTAGCCTATTGATAAAAAATATATATTGTGCAAACAAGCAAGGACTGGTGAACAGGTGAAGGGAGACAGCAGGCTCCTCCAGGGCGGGCCAGGCCCCCCAGTGCCCGCCCATGGCGCCGGGACTGAGTCTGTCGTGTAGTTTGTGACCTATATATGAAGCACACCGGCTATAGAAGATGTAGATGGCCATTCCTCGTTAAGGTCTCTTTTAAATGGATGGCGGATATCACAGCATTGGCTTTAGGCTATTTAATATTGTAACATTCACAAGTTTGAAGATTATAAGAACATACTCCGAAATATAACAAAATACAAATGCATTTACATTTTATTAAACAATGATTATGTAAATAAACCCAAAAATACATTTTATTAAATAATTATTGGATTTATATGTAATCATTTTTTTATAGACTAGGCCTATTATTTTATTCAATAATTATTGGAATTGTATTCATTTTAATATTATCTTTAAATTAAAAAGCACGAGGTCCATACATTGGTAAAACATTTCTCTAATCTCAAGGTTTAAACAAGGACAATTAGCTACCAATCACAGAGCAATACAAGAGTTCTTTCTTAGCAAACAAAGCAGAACAATTTGATTCAATCTGGATCAAAACTATGAATTTCCAGCATTCCAGTGGTTTAGTCATGAGACATGAATTCACATGCATTGTTAACGTGCAAATGAATTACTTAAGTGCAAAAGGGTCTATTTAACAGGATTGTCAATGGTTTAAATTATTACGACACAACTCAATAAGCTTTGCTTAATTAAGTTGGCTTGAGAAAGCCAATTTACTGATTTACTATTTAATTTTATTATTATTATTGTTATTATGATTATTCTGAGCCAAAATTTAAACACTATCTCCTCCTACAGCTTTCAAGATACAACCACCAAACTCGGGTCAGACCTTCAGACTGGTCTAACTCGGTGTGCTATATCTTTTTTGTAACTGATCCGACCATCAAAACCACCTAAAATCCCATAGACTTTCATTCATACAATAAGACTTGTGGTATATTTAAGCTGTCTACTGCTATAACAAAGCTTAACAACTCCCTACTGAAAAAACCCCAGCTAAAACCAGCCTAAGCTGATTGGCGGCTTTGGCTGGACTCCCAGCTGTTTTAAAGTGGTTTTGGCTACTTTTTTGCTGGTCAGGTTGGTCTTAGCTGGTTAAGCTGGGAGACCCGTTAAAAGACTAAATCTAAATTTAAACCAGTTAAGACTAGACAACCAGCCTAGGGGGGGAAACAAAAACTTTTTTCTGAATCAGCTAACATGCTAGAAACATGCTAGCAACTTACTAATTATGTTAACAACACGCTAATCATGCTAGAAACATGTTAGAGACATGCTAATCATGCTAGCAACATGCTAATCATGCTAGAATCATGCTAGCAACATGCTAATTCGTGCTTGAAACGTGTGTTCCCACTCTGTCCCAAACTTCAGTTTCAACAATTAAAATTAAAGTTTAAGCTTTTCAAAGCTATTTCAAACTTTCAGACCAGGCTTTCTCAAGCCAACTTCAAAGTTTGTCTGCGAACTTCACTCATCTAGTTGATTTTCAACAGTGATCTAGCCTATTTTAAGTATTTCCATCATATTCACTATTCACAATAACTTCAGTTTTCTTTTATGTCTGCAGTTGTTGAACTAATGTTGTGGTTAGTTCACCTTCCTCAGGCACATCCTGTTTATTGTTGTTCACAAAATAGCGTTGGTTTTTCTTGCCATTTCAACGATTTGAGACGTCTAAAATGTTCAGGCTTTTAGATAAAACATCTGGTAAAGCCACTAGCATTATATTGAATAAACGCATGGATATTTAGAAATGTCAAACAGTGATTTGAAATCCCGCTTTAAGATTTTACCCTGGCCCTGTTTGGCACTGTCGTCCTGACGCAGAATGAGTTTGTGGGAGGACCAAATCATCGAGAACGTGCTAGGCAGTTCGATTCATTTTACAGAATCGATTCATTTGAACACTTCATTTTTGATTCATTCATTTTAAGTCAGATACAAACAACAGAATCAAGTATTGACTCGCTGAGAACATGTTGATACACGTTGGGGAAATGGGAATTCCCACAATTTGTATTTTGAATGTTATTATTTAGTTAAGGTTATTCCTCTTTGTCATATTTTAGTTATGTGATATAATTTAGGCATAATGGCTTTGTGTTTAAACTGTAACGTTCGCTTTGTTTTCTGTTAATTGGAGCATGATTATAATTAACAATTAGATATAACAACAATCAGTGTTATAAAACACAGCTATTAAAGGTTAATGACAGCCAAATAAAGATTAATGCACATGGCAGCCAAATAAAATTGTCAAATTTTTTAGTTTTAACCAAAATAAATTAAAATATTAACAAACTTTATAGACATGTTAAGGATATTTGTCCCAGGATCCATTAACAGACTAGCCTACATACAATTCCAATGGCACAATAAGTAACGTTTATCTTGTAACATTTTTGAGCAGCTGCTTTTCGGCAGTTATTATTACGAGCAGCTGTTTTCGCCCAATTTTATGCAACAAATCTTATAGTTAAAAGTATCACGTTTTAGTCACATTGGTTCGTTCATTCATTTGATGAATCAAGCGTTATCAAGGCTTTGTGTAATGGTGCGTTCAAGTCATGTCGGATAGATCGTATTTACACATGAACGCCACCACAAAGTCGTTATTACGAGTGGGAAACTCAATTTTCTTTAAGCCCTGAGTTTCCGAGTTGGGGACGCGTGTCAATGAGAAACATGGCGGAATCGATGGATACAACGTCTGTAGTTGACGGTACATTTTCGTTTAAATTGATAGTTTAGTTGTCCTATAAACTTAAATTGGTCATGTTCTTGTTACGCAGCTAGTTAATGAAATCCAAGTTTAAAAAAATGCTATAATTTTTGCACCTATAGGTGAAAAATCTTTTGATTTGCCATGTTGCATTTAGCTAACAGCTTTTTAAAATCTCTGTATTTTAGCGTTTGTTGATGCTGAAAATCAGTTATACTGGGATCCGGGTCTAAAAAAAATATTAAAAACGCAAAACATACACATACGTCAGAATGCTGTTCATAGACTTCAGTTATGCCTTGTGCTTTATATATATATATTTACATTTGACTTTATTTGTATATTTGTATAGTTGTATTTTGTATTTAATCTGTATTTATGTTATCTGTATGCACCCAAGGGTCTGAGAGTAACGCAATTTCAATTCTCTGTGTGTATGTCCTGTACATGTGGAAGAATTGACAATAAAGCAGACTTGAACTTGAACTTGAACTTGAAAACACACCTGATGCGAATTCTTTTCTATTCATTTTCTATAAGCAGATTTAACAGACCCTGTTGTATTTTCTTGTAATTTATTAAAAGAAGGTACACCTCCATCTTGTGCCGACTAAACTGACTTGAACGCACCCGACGTCGTAAGTACGAATGTCCCAGGAGGACTTGAACGCAGCATTACTCTGATCTGGTTGAATCATTTGGATTTTGGAATCGGTTCGTTTGATTCATGGAAAAGAACATGTCGAACAGAACGATTCGCTCGCGATTCAGACATCACTACGATCGCATGGCGAGGTTTGAGTCACTCAGACACTCTAGATTATTTGCAGGAACCTTTCGGTAAGTAAAATGAAGGCGCAATCTTTCGCATTCAATTTTAATAACGGCGCATTAGATAGCCAAAACCGATGTAAATAGACTTGGTGAAGGACCAGAGAGCCGCATATCACGAGCGTTTAAGCGGATTGTGTGGCTGAGGGTGTTGCCCAAACCGGCTTTCTGTCGGAAATCATGGTTGGCATTGTTATCAGTGTAGTTTTAGATTATTTTACTTGAGAGTAGTGTAGATGTTAAGTATAATTTGCGTAAATAGCTGTCTGTGGTTTGAATGTGCTTAACGTGGTATTTTGTGGTATAAAGAGACAAATGTCCAGAGGGACCAGGATATACTAAATGTTACAGGATTTTACTAAAATTACAAAGACTATACACGGTGTTCCTATTAAAATAAGGTTAAAATATGGTCTATTGCCAGTTTCCACGGTTTAGGGCGACATCTTGTCATTTTCTGTCCACGTCTCTGTATGGTTAAAGCTCCAGATGGGAATAAACTGTTTGAGGTAGGTTATAAAACTGAAAATAATTGGTCGTATAAGATTTTTTTTCATCATAATAAACCTTATGTGTTTTAACATCATTGTAAATGGAATAATCTTGAAGAATAACGTTTTTTTTAATCCATTTTCCCAATCCAGTTTTCATCCCATGTGTGTAGCAGCATCTGGTTAGAATGTATTTCAGCCAAGTCACCCACATCATAGATTCATATTTTAAGGATTTGTGCCAGTTGCGTAAGTCTTTGACATTAGAGTGACGCTAAACAAGCTAATTCCTTCTGTTATTGAGTGATGACTTTTTATTTTTTTTTGGTGTGCATTGCCATTGTGTTTGTGTTGGGTCGAGTTGACATGATTGATGGGGAAAGTAAGACACCTATCCAACAGGTCATTCACAATTCAGATTTCTAGACACTAAATGATATGTGATAAGTCACAATTGACTTCTGTGTTTGCACTTTTAGAAAGGGCATGAAATGTCATTTCAATTGGGATGGGGTGTTTCTTTACAATATTTGATGCATTTTTTGCAAAGAATTCAGTTTGTTTTATATATATATTTTTTTTGTTTATTCAATCATAAATCATTTTAAGCCGTCGTATCTTAGTCAAATGCCATTCACATGGCTACACTTTCAAGTTTTTGTCAACTTTGTTTGCTAGTGTTGCAATTTAAAAAGACTTCTTTTTCATTCCTCTCTCACTTGTTTTACTTTAAAGACTGGTGGCAAAGCTGTTTCCACAGAAGAAAATGTTTTAGCCGAGCAAATCAGCTGTTTTCATCAGAAGTACATCACATTTACGCTCCCAGCCCATAAGCGATACATGTGGTATTTTTGTCTGCTTTGCACATTGTGTTTTTCATCCTCTGCAGTGGATCTCTTATGTGGTAAGAGAAAGACCAGCGAATTCTCAGGACCAAGAATCCTGCAGAGCTTTCCCCAAGAGGGTCCCGAGCCTCAAATAAATACTTCCACATGACCTTCAGTCCGTGTGCCAGAAAGAGCTGTTTCTGCACTCTCAGTGACGTACAGGATTCCTTGAGATGTCAGCCGACTGCTCTTTTTGCAGTGCGGTTTCAGCTAATGGGGCTCCCCTTTTGTTCGATTCCTTGAGAATTTTACTTGCCCTGGGTTGTGGTCTATAAAACTTGACCGCGAGGTTGTGGGGTGCCAGGGAAATTTAGATCACATCTGCCAAGCTGGATGATTATGACCAGGCACTAACTTCTTACATGAAGGGAAAGTCACGTGGAGCTCCTTCCTAAAGCACCAAAGGTGGTTCTAGGCTATGGCAGGGGTCACAGAGCTCTTTAAGTCTAATCATATCCAAAAAATCTTTGTGTATTCTCTCTAGGTTTGGGACTTTGATAGTTACCAGCCCCTGTAGAATGAAAATGAATAAACATGCTGCTATCTCCGGCTTTGAAGTATGTGCCAAAGTTGTTGAGCATCAGCCAGCACTTGACCCAAACCGGATTCGGGTCATGCAATTATCTGTTTGATAAACAGTTGTTAGCCACACACAGTGTGCCATTGTGTATGCCAACTTACATTTAGCTGCAGGTAGGGATATGCTAGAATCATTTTTCATTGGCAGTTTATGTTAACTAATGAATTAACTAATGAAGCCCTAATGTAAAGTGTGACCGAACAATAAAGAATCAAAACACTTTCAAACAATATCTAGGGAATGTTGTAGTCCAGATTAAAATGTAAAAAAGTTTGAAGATAAATAGCCTATTAAGTCTAAATATTTAAGTATTTGGCGCTGTGATGAACATCATAGCAAATACATAAATCTGAATGGCTGTTTAAATCATTTAAACACGATTCAGAAGCAGAAAGTAGAGCAGCTGCTTTGTTAACAGGGTTCCCGGGCTAACGGCTGCATTTCTGCTGTTTAGCGCCATCTGCTGTCAGAGAGGAACATCATAGCAATTACATAAATCTGAATGGCTGTTTAAATAATTTAAACACGATTCAGAAGCAGAAAGTAGTGCAGCTGCTTTGTTAACAGGGTTCCCGGGGTAACGGCTGCATTTCTGCTGTTTAGCGCCATCTGCTGTCAGAGAGTGAAAGTGTGGTTTCATTCAGAGCGTCTCTCACATGTTCCGCCATGCGCTTCTCATCCACGCTTGTTTACATCAGAGTGCACACGCGTCTTTCACAGCGGTGTTGTGCATTTTGATCAGTTGATGGGAAAAGTATTCTTAAAATGCATTCTAAATTCTGAATAATTTGTAATATATAATTATTCACGGTATTTAGAAGTGCCCACGATAATAATGTCGTGCATATTCATTACCGTGATATATGGCATTACCGAATACCGGCACATGTCTAGCTGCAGGTGATTTAGACTCATTTATGTTCCAGATGTTCCTCATTTGTGTGCTTATTAGATGCAACTTTTGTGGTGCAGAACATTTAACATGCATAACAATTAAAGTAGCCTTAAAGGTCGATTAGCTTAAATCAGAGAGATTAACTCCTATTGGTATTGCATGCATCTTGTGCATGATAACATGCACAAAGACTTTTAAAATGATTATGATTGACAGTTTTTCGCTGTTTTTCTCAGGTTTAGTTGCTGGCTCAAAGCTGAAGTGGTTTTGGTGGTCTAGGTGGTTTGTCTGGTGTTCGCTTGTGTGTGAGAACTCACTAAAGCAAGTATTCTTACAGGTGCGCATGAGCTTGGCGCGTGCAGATATATTAAACTGTGGAAACATCCAATTTCACACAAACAATTAGCATCACGCAAATCAATCAAACACACTATCCAGCCGACTGGAACT